AAGAGGCTAAGCAAGGAGAAGATGATGATCTTGGTCATACATTTCAGAGAAGATGAAAATGCCAGACAAGACAAGGAAGGAACATGCAGAAAGGAAGAACGGAAGCTGGGGAAACTCAGAAAAGGCAAGACACCAAGAAGGTGGAGAAGACTTGCAGAGCCAAAAGCAGGAAACAATAATAGCACAGATACTAGCACTCTCTTACTCTTGTCATAAGACCATCATGAAAATTACTTTAAATTTAGAAGACTGACATTTAAGAGACTACAGTTTTTGTTATATAATTGATTGTTTTTCATGAAAACTAAAAAAAAAAAAAAACCTCACTACTTATTAGTACCAAGTTTTGATGGGCAGCCACAACCAAATTCTTAAGTGATCAAACATAAAATAGGCTTGAAGGTTGTTCATACCTACCAGGGCAAGACAGATGGTGTGGTGTAGGTGTCTCTACTTGATTGCACTGCGCCCCAAATGGACAACATCCGAGTGTTGTAGCTACAACATACTGACTGTAACAAATGCTAGGACAAAACTATTGATCACCACTCGGGCTTCCAGGGAGAAAAATAAAAGGCGTTCATGGGTTAATACTTCTGACTGAAATTTGCTTATTTAGAGCTTCGCTTAACAGATGCCATCATGAGGAGATAAAAGTCCTTACACTGAACAGACAATTTTAATGGCCTTTCCCATTAAGCTATGGGTGATATATTTCAAAGGGCAGATTATTGGAGTCTTTCTGCCGACAGCAAGGAATGTCAGATGAATTCAGAATATCAGTGAACATCTAAGCCTTGGTAACAAGGATTTTAATATAGAGTTATATTACAATTCAGGACAAAACACCTTGACCAATTTATTCTCTTGTACAGCACAAAGGGACCCTACACTGTATCTGCATTTACATTCATTGCCAAAATAGGCAATGGACCCTTACTGTTCATGGGAACAAAGCTCCAGATGCTCTTACATTCTTAAGCCTAATGTGCTCAGCTACTGGTGTGGCACCATTAATCACATAAAACACGAGTTTTATAGCCTTGGAAAACTGGCACCTCCCAGATTTATTGGTTTGACTACTCTGCTTAATAGAAAGTTTCTTATGAACAAGTGAGCTCTGAATACAACATACTAAACATTATCATCCCATAATCAATAGGTATCGGGAAGACTGTTTTTAAGGTTTAGCTCCTTTCCTGTTCTCCCGCAGACTGAAATTATTCAGCTCCGTACTGCAGAGCTCCATTAAGCACTTTGTTTTTCACTGAATGACTGGAATCAAACGCGTACAGCCTCCATGGATGGATAAACTGCGGTAAAAAGAGATAAGTCAGCAATACTGATTGGCTCTGTTGTCTAAGCGTGTCTTTTGATTTTTGAATTTCTGCCAAAAGCACCATCATTCTGTGTTTACCCTTCAGAAGCCCTCGGTCACTCAGATGGTGCATACGCTCGCAGCGCAGCACAGCACTCTCCCTTGCAGACACAGAATTCATAAAAAAGAAAATTTCAGTACTTGTATTTGTTGAATGTAAATTTGTGGCAGAGATCCTATATCTCTCATCTTTCACAACATTGTTTCTATATAATATGAAGTGATTAAAAGAGTAGTTTTACTTTGCTGCCCATCTCACTCAGAAAAATGCTTTATTTCTGCGCAAAGCTGTACACAGATTTCAAAATGTACTTTGTTACATCATTTTCCTCTTCCTTTCCCTCCCTGGCAAGTCAAAATAATAGAACCACCTGTGTGGTGGTTTCTTCTGCACGTGTGTGTGTGTGAGTGTGAATTTACACTAACTACTGAAAACATACAGCATTTTTCTTCACTTCTGGGGCCAGGACTGCCAGCGCTGGGCTCAGTACTGGCTTCCACAGGACACCACAGACTTGCAACTCCCTTAAGAGCTGCTGCTGCAACAAGAGCTGTTGTTTAATCATGGACGCTTGCCGTGCGCTTTGCACCCGAGTAAATGCCTGCTGGAGGCAGCAGGAACAAGACCAGAACGGGTCCCTGATGAGGCGTTTGAGTTGGTTACAACTCTCTGCAAATTCAACATTTGGCACTCAGGAATCTCCTAAGGCAGAGACAAACAACAGACCCTCTCGACATGACTGCAAAGGGAAGGTGGTTATTCCCGTTTGAAAACAAAACCGATCCGACACCAATGATGCAGCCTTTATGCAAACATACAGGTAATAGCAAGACTATAAATAAATAAATCAATCGCATCTGCATAAACTGTAATAAAGTGACAAATGAAGGCAATTGTTATCTGCTTGTTCAAAGCCTTGAGGACATTTTGCAATCTTGTGATTTCTATTACTGCAGGCTCACCAGAGTTGCAAGTTCAGTTGACTGTGAAGGTCTGGGTCCTGTAAAATCTTATTCACGTGCATATTGTAAGAAGCCGGGATAGCGGAATCAGAGCCTGTGCTGCGTCAAAGGTGCTGCTTAAGATCTCGGGTGAGGAAATGCTCTCTTACAGGTAGCTCACAAGCCTAAACCCCTTGTGGCATTAAAAGGAAATGAATTTGATTTCTCAAGAGCCTATGGCTTCCTAACAAACCCTGGGAAATGAGTTCAGAATACTAGCATATGCTCGAATCCATTTTCTAGTTATAAAGGCTTCTTTATTACTGTTTTTGGCTGACAACAGTTGCGATAGCATGTTTATCATCATTCTTAAAACACTTGAGAGAGAACAATGTGAGTGCATTTTTATTTTGGTTTTAACTTCTTTATTTCATTGCTGTACAGCTGCATTACACTTGGCTTTAATCCCTTAAGCATTATTTTCCTTGGCAAAATAGTCACTGAACTGAGTAGAACTCACTATTGGAAAAAACTTACTATTGGAAAAATATGCTTGAAAAACCAGTGTGATGTCAATGCCAACTGAAACCCATGGAGCTTAAAATGTCACAAATGCGCCTGTAGCTGAAATACATAGCTCCCCATTTTTTTTGACCGAACTAGGAAAGTTGTAAATCTTAGGTTGTGAAGCCAACTGTAAAAACCATAGAGTAGCCTCCTGAAACTGAATGTGTGCTTTTTTTCCCCCCGCGAACAATCATTTGGAAAACAATTATATAAAACTTGATGTAGGATAATTCCATAGGCAAGAAATGACTGTGCGGCTTCTAGGCTCGCCTGCATTAACTGTGGCTATCGGTAAGAAGTTAGGCTACAGGCTTCTTAGAGAAAAGATAGAACCCGACTTTGTAAAATATCTTTAATATTCAAATATATAAATAAGCACTACTGAAGAATAATTCAGAAGACTGCGATGATTCATTATGAACAGATGCTATAAATGGGAACAGCAACATTGCTAGGTAAGGAAGAAGCAAGCTATTTTAGGAGTCTTGAAAATCTCTTCTAGTTCTTCAGACAGATCATGCTGCTATAGTTACGTTATAAAAAATCATATTCTGAAAAGCACTTTAGTAAAAGAAACCTTTTACTGGAACTATTATTTAACCAAGACTTTCTACAGCACTAAAGCACACTGCAATTGAGTTCCCGATATAGTTTTAAGAATGGGAGGGGTAAAAAAAAGAACAAAAAACCTACCATACCTGCACCAGGAGCTATTTATTAGCATAACACTCTTCCTTTTAAAGATTTCGTAACAACTGAAGTATATACAAAGTCTTACAGCATTTACACAATAAAAAAGTTTCCTATTAGCTGATGAAGTATAAGGTAGTGCTGCAATTTACTTCAAAGCATGTATACAATAATAATGAAGCAGACCACTGTAATTTCAACTTCTCCGCTACCACACCACCACTGTCAGTTGAAATGACAGTTAATTAAACCACTGGGAAGACACAGATTGTCAAAAGATTTGTAACAGGTTGACCTGCAGCACTAACCATCATAAGGAGGAAAAAATAAAAAAAAGAAAAGCTACATACTGTCATGTTTCTACACTTTCCTAGAGCTGTAACAAACTTTCACAGCCTTAGATATAACATATGCAAGACAACATAATCACAATTTTTCAGATATAGTTCAGCTACTGAGTGTATTTACTTCTGAATAGGAGGCGTTATATTGATATGGCTGTGTATTTCCATTTTTGTTCATTAACTGTTCAAATAGGTCTACAAAAAAAATTAAAAGACAGCATGGAGTTTGTAGTCATGATGTGTTTGACTAATAAAGGCATTCAATATCAGCTATAGGATCTAATTATTCCTGTCAAAAGTTTAAGACCAGGAATCTTTGAGTAAAAACCAAACCCGCAAAATCCCGCACCTGCAACGTTTCCATCTGTTGACTCCAACCTTCTTTAAGCTTTTCCAACAGGGTAACACAAAATCATTAAAATGCTTATACCAACCCAAATGCAAGACTCATTCAGTTTATGAGAGGTCAAGCAAATTCACTAGACTACTTCTTCTGTAAAATTGAGGGAGCTTACCTAGAAAAAAGAAACCTTTACTGAACAGTCCCTTACTACAAGTAGGGATATATAGTTTAACAACGATACATAATTTAAGAACATAACATTCTTTGCCTTTTAGAAACAGTTTTACATGTGCCAATAATGCACTTTCTACAAGAGATAAGGCTGCTTTGCCTATCGTCGTATGCCTAAACCTCTTATTTTGGCCAATTTTGCTTTTCTTCCACCCAAAGGGATTCTGTTTCAACTTAGAAGCTAGCAACATCAGTTGACAATATCTGTATTAAGACAAAAAGTGACATATAAAATCCACAAGGAACCACATAAATACCAAAGAAGTCATATAACCTTTCCATGTAAACACTTTGATTATACTGAAGCCCTAATTAGATTCTCGTCTTAAACTTTTGGCAGATAATGTGTATGCTCAGCCAGGCTTTGTAGTTAGTTATTGTTCAAGTGGAAGCCAGGTCAGCTCACATGTTGACAGGCATGCAACTTGGAAACATTGCACAACAAGCAACACAAAGAGATTTGAGAAGTGTACAAGACTTCAAGTAGACTTCACAACCCTTCACAACTGAATATTCACAGACAAAGATACAGTCCTTGCTTTTTCTACGGTGGATTTTCTCTCACACATGGGACACTTTCTGTGACTCTCTAGCTTGCTTGATGCTATATAACCACTTGATGATTCTGGCATTCCTTTCAATGGCAGAAATGCCGTATGGCACACGGTCATTGGCACTGTCATCGTTTCTAAGGTCACTGTTGCTGTCCTGAGACTGTTCACAGTCTGAGCTAATCATGCTTGCACTGCGAAAGTTGAGGGATATAATATCAGAGTTAGCCCTTGCAAAGTTTTCCATCCCGAGGTTTTCAAGCTCTTCAGGATCCAGTCCGCAGTAGTTAAAGAATCGCTCAACATCTGCATCGACACGAAAGTATCTGTCGCTTAAGTCTGATTTTGATCGCTGTAGGGAGGGTCTTCTACTAACTCCGCATCCAGACTCGACTGCCTCAATCTCTGGGGATTTCAGGGTGGCAATGGCAGCAATTTTGGGCTTTGGAGGCAGAGGTGGGGCTGAACTACTGCAGGGTATTGCTTTTAAGGGCTTTGCACTAGTTACTTTCCTAATGTCTGAGGAGCTGTGAGAGACATGCAAGAAAGTCTCCGCCGACTGATCTAGGAGCCTTCTGCTGACGTTGGAGCTGCTCTCCTGCGGGCTGCTACGGCCCTGCGTGGGGTAAACCTTCAAAGATTCGGCGAACGAGTGTCGGTTTAGCTCTGTCGAATCGGCTCTGTGGGGTGGCCAGTTTCGGGGACCGTGCTTATACCCTGAACCCGAGCTGGAGCCTTCGGAGCTGTTGATGATGTTCTTCAAAATCTCGAGTTTCAGATTTTCTCTCTGGACGCCGCTCTCGGTCTTCGTGTTGTTGCTGAAGACTTTCAAGGTGGGGCTCCCCAGTGCTCGCTTGGCCGCAGGACAGACCGGCGGCTTCGCCAGCACTGCTGGCTTCACAGGCTCCTGCTTGGCGTTGATGACCTCCTGGCTCTTGACGTATTTCGCCTTGTCGGCTTCTAGCCTCTCCACCGCGCTCAGTCTTTTTGGATTAGGCTCCGCCTGCCTACGAAAATAGTCGGGTCCTTTGTTCAGGATGCGGAGAGGAACAGCGGACGTGAAGGTGACGGCAGGGCTGACCGGCTTCACCATGCTACCTGTCGGTAGTGTTTCTGTAGGCATGTTTGGTGGTCTTTCCCCCGCAGCCGTTTTGGATTCTTCTCTGGGATCTCCTAAATGCACGGTGCAGAAACATGTACATTAAGCACAATGAATAGCCGATGAATCCTGGGATCTGAGCGTTAGCAGCAGCGCCTCATCTCACAGCTCATTAAATAACACTGCGTTTCTCTTTTAAAGGCAGCCTTTGTAGGGCAAGGCCACCCGACACAAGTCCGTATTAGTCTGCTCCGCCAACTCCTTTCTTCTCGCTGAAAGATGCGGGAGTCTCGCCGTTCCCTTTGTGCTCTGCTACCGGCAGCGATCTGAAACGCAGAATAACCAACCACACGTTAGCGAGAGCGCCTGACATC